ATATTAAATAATAAAACAATTAAGAAATAAGATGCATTACCCAGCATAAAAACTGGGAATCATTAAATTTGCCTCTCGCTTTGTTTTTTTAAATCTGTATTGATTTATCGATTTATGATTATAATTGATTTTTTGTTACTCTCTAGTATGTAAAAATTTTAAATGAATTGATTCTAAAAATTAAAAAGTTGCAAAAAACAGTCGATATTGATTTCTTCACTTTTACTATTCATCAATTAATGTTAATAGCAAATCAATCACAAGAGCAGAGAATGCCAAAGAATATTGAATTACGTTCTCTGGTTATTGTTTTATTATATTTAATAACACAAAATTGAAAAACCATATGTATTCATTTTAAAAATATCATTTGTTATCTGGATGTTGAGGGCAAATACAGGTTGGTTGAAAAGTTTCTGCCCTCAAATGAAAAAATACTATTTTTGGTACGAAATATATTTTCTTATTCAATATAAATCCCTTAACTTCAATTACTTATTCCAATGATCCTCTAATAATCTTATGCCATCCCTACAATGACTTTCCGGAAGCTCTGCAAAATACCCATCTACGGCTGTAAAAGCTCCTTCGTTCGACGAAAAACGCTTTCCACGAAGGATTTGTTTCAGGTTAATGAAGAGGTAGTAGTCGCTTGGAGCCAAATATGGTGAACACGGTGAATGCTCAAGCAATTCGTATTTTAATTCGTTGAATTTTGTCATTGTTAAAACACCTTTGTGAGCAAGCGCATTATCTTGATGAAAAATAATTTTTGTGTGCTGTAAACCAAGCCTTTTCCCACGAATTTTTTCATCTAGCTGATCCAAAAAGCTGCAATAATATTCAGAGTTGATTGTTTTACCTTTCTGCAGATAAGCAGTCAACAAAATTCCTTTTGCAAACCTGATGGTATAACCTTCTTTGCTGATCGTTGTGGCTGCAGCTGTTTTGGAGCTGAACAACAAGCTTCAGGGCACTGTAAACGTTCTTGTTTTAATTTAGGATTATGGTGGTAGATTCAAGTCTCATCCATAGTTATAGAACGACACAAGATATCTGTTGTTTTCTGGTTAAAATGCTCCAAATTGTGCTGAGAAATTTGGTTTCGATCCAGTTTTTGTTGAATTAAAACTTGAATCTTCACTAACAATATTATGAACTTGCTCAATGACTTCTGATGTGGTTGCGGTTTTTGATCGTTCTGTTTTGAACAACTTGAGAAAAAAGAAATTTGGAGCTAGAAGTGCTATTCATTTTTTACAAAAATAATTTAAATCATACATTTTGAAATATTGTGCGAGACTTCATTATTAAACAAGTAAAAAGGGCTAAGTGTGGACGTAACATAACCGAACATTTCTCTCGTAATGATCAAAGCTGGGGAAATACCTTCATTTGGTATATTATTAAATTTATTACATTATATATTAATTGATATATTATATGATCAGATTATGATCAATTTTAGACGAAGGATATCAAAAGATTCAAGCTGGATTAATATACCATAAAGAGGGAAAAGCTAATGGAGTTCAAAATTGTGTTATACTTACCTTACCGTGTTTGTAGTCCGATTTCGCACCTAAAAATAGAAATGGCAGGGTAATGTTAAGTCCCGAATTTGGTTGAAATTGGTAAAGCAGGCCTTGAGATATGGCGTTTCAACTTAAAATTCGCGATGCCACTCTCACTGTCCAATTCTGATACCGGCTCCTATGGAGCCCAAACACAGTATGGGTGTAAATTGTAATGTTGCTCACGCATTTATTTAGTAAGTTATTGCACTTTTTGCAGTTTTTAACAAAATCGTTATATGTGGAGTCGGCGTCGTGTTTATGTCATTTTATCCATTTCTATAAGGAAAATATTTGTCCTGAGAAGCTTTGTTGATTTGGCTTTAATGCTTTGGGAGATATATGTATACATTAAACCTATTAATGAGCGGGCCACACTCACTTTTCCAAAATATTTCACGCCACAGATGCCCCTATATACGCCATAGAGCCTATAGTGTACGAAATAAAAGTTTTATAACCCATTGTGGAGCTTAGTTATGGCATTTTGTAGGCGGAGCCCTTGTGTGCCAAGGAACATGTATACCAAGTTATACGATAAACGATATCTTAAATTATATATACTTACATAACGCGTTTAGTTTAAGGTGGTAAGAACAGCCATTAGGTAAACAAAACTATTCTACTCTTTTTTGCAACATGTTGGAACAGTATAAAAAGATTTTTTTCTGAGTATTTTAACGCACCAATTTGAATTCTGCAGTGGTAGTTTTAGATGTACACACATATATACATATCAGTTTATATATGGTACATACATATATCTACATAAAATATTCAGAACACTACATATGTGCGCTATATGCACGAGTAAACTCGTGCGTGTGCTCGAAGTTTGTGAAATTTATTAAAAAGGTACCTGTGCAACGCAGTTGGAGTGGCAAAGACAATGTTAACAACCGCAAAGAAATTGCAAAGCAAAAATAATAATTTTGTAGTGTAGTTTGAGTGAAACCTACAAAAAATGCTGCAAAGAAAACAAGCAACAACAAAATAAAAATTAAAACAAAGCAAAAACAACAATGGCAGCGTTAATAGAAAAAAGGGTGATATTGTCTGCAGGCGTTTGAATGAGTTTTCGCAGGTAGCTTAACAGTTTACCTAATGATTCCACAAGGCTTTTATTGACATGAATTCGGTGCCGACACGGTACATCACTCATTGTCTTTAGCCTTTGTTTGGCAGAGATTCTTCTCAAATATTATATATCATATATATATTTACTTTACTTTAGAAATATACATAATTCATATACGAGTATAATATATTCATAACAATAACGAGCTAAATTTAATACAAGATATCACCAGGAGACCACATTAAAATGGTGTAACCGCTTTTTTCAATGTTATTAATTTGTGTTTATAGATTTTAGACAAGTTCTACTTTTATAAACATTAACACATATATAGAGTATATAAATTTGTATATAGAAATATATATGCGCGAATATGTTCAATTTTCACTCTGATTATGTTGACACAATTTGCTCTTTGTTTACAGTAATGAGTTTTGCCACTGCTCAGTCTCATTCTCAATCTAGGCTTCAACTCTACTTAACTCAAACAAAAGGGAACCTTCTGAGATTGTTGGCTGGTGGCATTAAGTCGTATAGTCTAGGCAGTTTCTGCATTTCTTAAGCAAATATACAAGCGCTAAGTATTGGTTTCATATGTGCATATATATAAATAGGTATTTATTCTACTAAAAAAACGAAACGACTTGTATAGCAGCTAACAGGTAAAGTTCTACATATCATATGTCAGCATACTTACATATAAGAACACCACTTCAACCGTAGGTGAGCACGTGCGTATTCAGTCTCTAATTGCATCGTACTCACTCCCATTACTGTTATTACTGTTGTTCACATATGTTTTGTATGTTTTTTTGAAAAGCAATTCGCAGAAGCACGCGATAATGTGAGTCGGAAAAACCACAACGATTTCAGGTGCTTCACGGGTTTTGAGTGCTCGCCTTTCGTTAGCGCCCCACACATGCTTGTTTTCTTATTTATATTTATTTTTATAACAATGTTATTATTGGTGCTCTATGTGGTCTATCATTTATTTCGAAGCTAGCAAACATACACACGCACATAGCTTGTATGTTGTGCGTAAAAATGTGTGTGTTTACGCAAATACTTATTCTAGTCCATATAATAATGGAGTAATCAAATGATTATTTGCATGTTGTTAAACCTATATTGCCCGCATATGGGCTTGGAAAAATTGAGCATTATTCAGCACTTAATAAATTGCTAATACGATAATAAAGCTTAACTCCTCAACTCGTTAAAAGCAAATTTATTCGAACGCAATTTTTAATGCTTACTCGCTCGCATGTCAAATTAAGTGTATGTAGACGCGGTGGTAGCGCAGTGTAATGAACAAACTAATTCTGCGAAATAACGAAATTTTTGGAATTGCACTGTCTAGGATTGTAAGCTATCCGCCTTCCCAGAAGAGGTTTTATTATATAATTTTTGCTCAAAAATTAGTGCTATTCTTCCTATTGTATTAAAAACTTACTTCATTGTTTCAATACCCGGTCGTTGAAGAGAAAATTGAGTGACACGGCAATATAAAATTTAATTGATGAATAATCTCGTTCTAAGCTGGTTTAAAAATCTAACCGTGGCCATGTACCAAAGGTGATTATTAGATGTCAAATGTGCTGTATTTGTTTTCTTCTTGGTAAAGTTATTATTATTTAAATCCTAATAACAACGTTGAAACCAATAAAAAAAAAAGAATACGTTTTAAAGATATGGAAGAAAAAAAAGACGATTGTATACTTAATTGCGCAGATTGCTGCCAGAAATAAAAAGTTGGCAGATATCAATAGCTCTATTTCTATGCAATTTTATTTATTTTATAAGTTCAATTTTTCATTTACATTCAGTTCATTTTTAGTTATTTTATTATTTACAGTAAATCAATTTTATCACAACAGCGAAACAAAATGAATTCATTAACAAAAAAATAATTCATTAACAAAATAAAATACTTAAACTAAGAAACTTAAAACTTTGTAATCATAACAAAATGCTTATATTAAATTTTATATAATTAATTATTTTATCAGGAAGAAGTTGAACTTCTCTTGGACTTGAGAGAAGAAAAATTGCCGTAGCTGCGTGGTGTTATTCGCAAATCGCATGTTGGATATGTCGGTGAAAAAAGCTACAAAAGACTATATATATATATCCCGAAAATGAAATTCGTGATTACATGCTTTGCTTAAAGGCTTCCAGACAATTTTCGGGGATGGCATTTCTTTCTCTTTCAATTAACAGGGCCTCACTGCCATCCTCTTTAATTGCTTTAATTTCTGTCGCTATTCTCCTATTTGCCGCCGGAAATTCCTCCAAAAACTCAAATTGAATGTTCACTGATACATTTATTTTTTTCTTTTTCTTTGCAGGTTCCTCGTCTGCATCGGTTGGAAGCGGCAATTCTTCGTGGTAATCTAATCCAATCAGCAAAGAGTCATGATTCATAATCTTCTACAACTTCGTGAACTGTAATAGTTTAGTTTATAAAAATAAATACAAACTTTTCAACTTTCTGTTTTCTTTTACTAACTTGCGCTCTCCCCCACCAAGGTTTCCAAATTAAAGCTTTTATAGTTGCCGAGGATATAATTTATTTTCCTATAGTATTCCCAAGTCGACGGGCTGCCATCAGAGGGACCAACTGTTTTCTAATAATAAAATTTAATTGATGAATTCTATGGTGATTTTGTGAACTATTAAAAAATGTAATTTAATTTTTTAAGTAGATTTAAAATTAAAATTTGAATTTCGGTTGTACGAATGCAATATTATCCTTGACAAGTTTGTATGGCAGCTACATATATGCAACAAGTTTTTATTACATTATTGCCTTAGGCAACAATCCACGCCAAATTCGGTGAAGATAAAAGTATCTTGTAAAATGAAAAAGTTTTTTCGATATCTGAAAAACTGAAGGACTAGATCGCATGTATACAGACAGACAGACATGGCTAAGTCGACTCAGCCCAATAGTTTAGCTTAGTTTTAAAAAAAGTTATCAAAACGAATATTAAAAGTTGTATTGTTGTAAGAATGTAATGTTGCTCAGTTTATTAAACATCTCAACCAGTTTTAGTTCGAAAGAAGTCCATTTTTCTTATGATTTGACTACTGTGGAAAATACTTTTAATTTTTTTGCAAGAATGTATATACTTGTATCAAAAAACCGTAATTATTTGCTAACAGTATGACAAATTCAGTACCTTGAAGCTTTTTAGATATTAATGCTCAACGAGAGAAACTATACTTAAGAACGTAATATTTTAAAAGTGTAACATAAAATCTGTTTATAAACTGTATTTATATAACAAATGCTTGAAAATAGTTTCGTTAAGTAATCTGTACTCTGATATTTCTCATACGTCATGACAGCGCTTTAATAGCACATGGATAAGTCAAGCTTTTTTTATATTAGTAAAGTCTCGCGTTTGTGCACAGAAAATAATTGCTTAGCACAAAAAACAAACAAAACAATCACATTTAATATATAAAACGAAGAAAGAAGAAATGCGTTGCAACAAGCAACTTACAAGTATAAAAGTTGCAAGCATGACTCAAGCGACGACATGCCTACAGCAAGCGTGACTGTCGCTCATTTTATGCAAACACAAATGCAAGCACAAAACTAAAACAACAAATATTTATATTCTGGTTTATACACTCGAACGACGGCAACAATAACTGTAAACAGAATAACTGTTAATGAGGCACTCACCTGTGCGCTTAACGGAACTGTAATAGAAACAAAAGTATATAGAAATAAGGCAAAAGATAAATAGGTAGCAAATGCAGAAAAGTAAAGAGTATGTAGGATAGACGGCATGGCAAAGTGACAAGGCAACAGACAGCAGATCGCCTCAGTAAGTAAAGGCACTGAAGATGACTTGCCGTCAGAGTAAGGAATAGGTCGATTACGAACAATTTCAGAGAATATAAAAGTTATTTAAGAATTGCTGTCATTGATAAGCAAACGAAGGTAGAATTTAATGCCGCATGAACATGCTATATGTGCGTAACGGTTGTTGTATGATGTGGGAAATATTATATTTAAATGAAGTAACTTTCATCTATCATGGATTCATAAACACCAATTTTCCATTTTTAATCGTGTTTCAAGTAATTGTTAATGTATGCTGTCTTAATATCCGACGAAGGTGTCTTAAAGTGGACTAACTGTTCATTGGTTCACTTGTAGGTGTCCAAGGGAATCCAACTTTGTATGAAATTGCTTCAAAATTTTCCTCTCGTTATCCCTATTACATTTATACAGTATTGAATTAAATTATTAATATAATATGCATCGCCTTTCTTTGAAATATGTTTTCCCATTATTTGGTTTGTTTTTCACTTTTCAGCTTCTGCAATTTTAAAATTCCTCGAATATTCGGCCTCCGTGAAATCACCACCAAATGTCCGATTTGACTAACAGTCTGATTTATAAGTACGAGTTTCAATGAAATACCCACTCGTAAGGCGGATATCAGTTTATTCTTTACAAGGCCAGTAAGTGAATTTATACCCGATTATGCTTTTTCAACCGAATATTTTTCACACATTTTTTTCATCCTAGTAATGCTCCGATTCCACCAATATGATATAACATTTTACACAGAGTGAAAAAAAAAATAAAAAATATATCCTGATCATTTTGATATACTTCACTCTATATATTAGATATAAATAAGAACCGTTAAGTGAACAAAGGTATTGAACTGATGGAAAAACGTTGGAAGAGTATAAAATCAACAGTACAAAAATTGTAGGCGAGAGAAAGCACATAGTTCGAGAGATCGCGATTACTTATTGACCTTGAGATGTGAAAAATGTTTAGAGATAACTGAAAAATAAACGAAAGCTCAAAAGAGGTGATTTACTCCTTTGTCACAGTCAAATTAAAAGAATTCTCCAAAAAATAACAAAGTCGACATAAAAATAAAAAAACTAATTTTCTCCAAACAATAACAAAGTCGACAAGAAAAAAAAATTCATTAACACAAAAACACGCTCAATCACAAACTCTTATCGCGCGCACATGCTGCTTCGGCACGTTTGCGCCAACCGCAGGCTATAACCAACTCCTGCCAGACCACACAGCTAACTCAAATGAGAACAAAAACTGTGGAACATTATATCTGAAGTGGTTGTTGCAGGCTGCACAAAATCGAGCGAGTGAGAAAAAATTCATTAAAGCGAATGACACATACTTTGTTTGGACTTATGCAAACAATGCCACACGCTAAAAACCAGAAACATTTGCATAACAACAATTACACGGCATACAAACGATGTCACTCATGAGGTTTAGAACCCTAAAAAAGCAAAAAGCATGTTTGCTTTTGATCTAACAACGTTGAACCCATCAATCTCGACTGTAGCATCAATAACAGCGGAAAGGCGAACAGCATTGGTTAGCTAGTTTGACTAGCAATGGCGCAACTAACCGCCAAATGGATCTGAACCGTGGCAGCTGTTGTACTCATGTGAAGGCATGAATTTGAAAAAAAATACCGTGAAAATATGTATCAGCTACAACCATTTCCGCAGACGGATAGAAAAAAGTACGTTAAGTAGGTGAAATGGAAGAGATGAAGTACTCTACACTTTTTTTTTTATTCGATCAGATTAAAAATGGGTCCGAAGTAAAATTTGAAATTATAGCAACTGTTTTCAATAATGGCCTTCCCGGAATTCAGAGTTTAATTGCGAAGAAACTGCCTTTCATAAAATTGTTCAGTTCTTAGAAAGATTTTGGGCTGGAACTCGCGGAATTAAAGGTTTGTATCTATTTTAAAAAGCGTGTATTTTTGCAAAAAAGTGATTATTGACAATTATTTGGGATAAAGAAGGCAGAAGACAATGAGTTTTAAAGCACTAAATTCCCATTTAAAACTAATTTTTAGTTTTTTTCTGATGATTTTTTGGTATACTATAATCTCATTCTTGTTTAATTTAGGGTAAAAATCAGTCCTTTCGGAATTGGACAAAAAAAAATATCTAGAACGAATATAATTGTATATATGCAATATTATAATATAGCCGCCATATGTGCTTTGTCATACGTTTTAACATGTTATAAATCTGCACGCATGTGTCTCTGTGAAATAACACAAAATTTATTGTATATAAGTACAACCACATTGTAGTCCTATTTATGTAATGAACGTGGCTATCACAATGCACTGCTCACTTTCGGTTAGCCGCAGCTCAACTTTATCCTAATTTTTTGGGGTTTCCATATATTAATTACGCCATTCATTGACTGCGCTTTTGGCTTATCATCGCTTTTAATTAGAGCGCGCGTGAACAACGAAAGTGTGTATGTATGTGTTTGTACATATTCATGCGAATGACCACACTTGAAGCATTGCTCGGCTATGTAAGCCGAATTCAACAACACACTCACCACCCACAAGCCTTTATGGCTATGAACAGAAGCCAAATGAACCTCAAGCTGTCCGTATTGCAACCGAAATAGCAACAACACACTAACATTAACAACCAGCGGTATGTGTTGCGCATAAGCCAAAGCAAAGAAAAACATTTTTTTGCCACTTTTTTCCAGGTTTTTTCGCCTCTTTTATTACAATCTTTCGCTATTCTTGCTGCCTTTTTTCCAACGTTTCTTTTTTGTTGCAAATGACAGCAGCATGTTGCAAAGTTTTATTTTCGTGCTTTTTTCTGCAATTTTTTCTCCACTAACTCTAACGGTGTGTTGTTGGAATTTTTCCGCAAGACCTTAATGAATTTTTTCGCACTGATTGCAAACACTTTACTTGTGCGAATTCATTATATAAATTCGTTGGCGTTTCAACATACTCATCATACAGACCTGATCGTACTTTAGTTGATATGATGTACTTGTTGTTTGTTTTGAACATTAGTCAGGTTGTATATATGATATGCAAATGTATATAGATATATACATATATCTGCTTTGTCACATTAATGATTGCGCGATAAGTAAAATAGTCAGTCGTAAAAGAAAAGTGAAATTTTTAAAAAAATAAATAGTAAAGTATCTGAAAATAAAAGCAAAAATATGTTCGCAAATAAAGCAAAAATTAAGCACTAAGATATAATACCCTTGACAAGTACAAACGAATCCTCACAAGAACTTGATTTTGATCAGCTAGTTTGTATGACAGCTTTATGCTATAGAAATCTAATCTGAACAATCTCATCGGAGATTACACCGATGTCTTGATCCGTGCCAAATTTCGTGAAGATATCTCTTCAAATGAAAAGTTTTCCAAACAAGCACTTGATTCCGATTGCTCAGTTTGTATGGCAGCTATATGCTATAGTGGTCCGATTAGGATGGCTCCGACAAATAAGCAAATTCTTGATAATTGGGAACATCGGGAATTTTCGACAACTATTTTAGAAAAGGAAAAATCATTAAAGGCCATTTTGGGAACGTTTGAAGTATGAAATCACTGTTAATTGAAGAGTATGCGCTGATTCATAAATAAAATGTTTTTTTAAAATTGCTTCTGCATCCACAATATCCTCC